ACTTCTTAAGCCCTAGGGAGCCCCACTTTCAAATCAGGCTCCTCTCATAAAGAACTGGATATTTAGTTTGGGAAACATGAGTCCCAAGATCCACAATTCAGTCTCCTCTTGCTGGTTCAAGCTATGATACATATGAAAAACTATTTTTGCTCATCAGGAAGTAGTTTTCTGATTTCAACATAAGAGGAAGGCCATTTGGAATTCTAGATTTTTATAGTATGATGGAGCTCAGAAACCTAAACTTTGTGTAGTCTTTTAGAATTTGTAGGTCTTTCAGACCCATTTTATATAAAGAAACTGAGACAGACTGATGACCTAATGGAGCTGGAGAGACTATTGTGCGATTCTAGAGGATCCAATAATAATAGACGGAAGTGCACAGCTCACATTGCCCTGAGCTACCCTCTCAGCACTTTCATCAACTGAAGAACAAATGTTGATGACTGTTAATGGAAGGGAAAGATTGTTCCAAAGGGAGGAAAATCTTACCAGCCAGTCCACTCAAGTAAATGTTCAAAAACAAAGAGATCGTGACAACTTCCATGTATATAATGAAACAATTCCCCTTTTTCCTTCAAACAAAGATGCAATCCTTGCTCTGTTACATTTGAATCACCATTATGCTCCATAGTGTGTTTGTATTTATGAACCCAGGAGCTCCACAAAGCTTTCCAGCCCATTATGAGAATCTGTCATGTACCCAGCTTCTCTTGTAGATCTTGATCTTTCTATCTTCCTGAGCACTAGTTTTATGGATCCTTCTCCAAAATGACCCTCTTCACAACCCTACTGAACCCAGCAGTGTATGTACATGCCAGCTCCTCCCGTCCTCTCAACCTTACTCCTGTCTAAGAAGAATGGAATTATTGTGGTTTTTGTGCCATTTCCAGCACTTGCCTGAAGATTTGATGTTTAATTCTGATATGTACACTTAGGCTATAATTGCCAATTCTACATTAAGTCAAGTCACAGAATGTTAAGAAAGTGAGAATGTAATTTGTCCCGGATCATAAAACTAAATATGGTTTACATATGCACAATGAGCTCATATCTTTTCATAGCTGACTTACAGCGGAAAGTACAGGGGTTTCTGCATCTCATCAAAACTGAGATTAAGATCAAAGAGCATCATCATTGGTAACTTCAGTGGATCTTAATCCACTGCGCATATTATTTTTAGGTCTGACATCTGAATAATGCTCTTTTTATTCCATTAAAAATTACTCTATAACTAAAGTTAGAATCTTTTGAAGTTCCTGCATCACACTGTATGATGAGTCACGTGAGGTAGGCCATCTGGGAGCAGTTGGCCTTTTATGTGTGTGGATAGAATTGGTCTTTAGATAGGATTGTTTGGGGACACAGCTGGACATCTCTCTAGAAATCCACACTCCACCTACACTCAGTAGGGCCTATACTCTGTCATTAGAGGAAGAAGATATGTCAATCCTCGTGGGCTCTCTATTACAACTCAAACACTGTTGGAAGCCTTAGTCATCAACACCTGGAATTGTGCACTGAATCAAAAAGGATTAGCAAGCATGTCACTTCTAATGTCATAAAAGAATGAATTTCAGGTCAGATAAAGGTTGATGATAAGGGGAACAGATGCCTTGGTGATATGGCAGAGTCTGAGATATAATGGGTTTGAAAGGGAAACAACTATCAGGAATGAAAAATCAGTCATGTTTCTCATCTCCTTTTTCCTTTCTTCTTTCCTACCATGTCCTATTATGTTCTGGCCTTTACACCAATCCATTATACCAAATACAGCAAATATTGTTGGGCAATAACATGTACATCACCTTAATTTTCTACTATGGATTCAAGCATTTAGAAGTAACAGGAATTTCGAATTTAACTTTCTCCAGTGAGGGTGCACAAAGCAAGCATTGTGCCCTCCACTGTACATTGGTAAGGAATGATCAACAATTAATGGGCAAAGCCAGCAAAAATAATCTTAAAAAATAGTATGATAAAACATATGAAGGAAGTAAGTATAAAAAAGAAATATGAACAGAAAGGGATGTGATAATTTTGCATAGTGAAAGCCTATCTTGTGTCCTGCATAGCAGGATCTCTATCTGGATATCTGCTAATATTTACTTCCTATTTAAAACATCTGCAGCAATTTAAATTAGGTATCCCAAATGTTTGAATCTGGAATTACTGAACATTGGTGTAGTTCGAGTTTACTACTCCCTTTTTTATGTTAGGTCTGTATTGTTTGAGAAACAGTTATAGGAAATGTTAGGAATTGTGATCTTGCTTGTTATAAAATTAGCTAGGGGGTGGGGAAATGTTTTTTTCTGCCAAGGCCATTTGGATATTTGTAACATCATTCATGGGCTTTACAAAATTATCAATATGGACAGAAGGCCACAGACAGCCAACAAGAGGCATACATACCTGTCTTCTCATGCACTAAATGATTTCACAGCCTTATGTGGCCCATGGGCCAGACATTTTGCACCCTTCAGCCCTCTAGGTTTTGTTAGGCCTTTGAATCTTTAGACTTCAATTGTCATGCAAAGTTTATTCTACTTCTGCTTCCAGAAAGCTGATTGGAATATACTCTAAACCTGTGAAAATGTAACAATGAAATCCCTCCCTGTATAACTAATGTAAGCTAAAAAAAAAAAAGAGCAAAGAAAACCCTTCTAGGAAAATAAATTACATTCCTGCAATTCAAATCTGCCAACAGCTTGTGTCCCCCTAAAATATCATCTCCAGTTTTCCACCACCAAGGATTTTCTCTGTTCAAAGAATCTCCATAGCCTACCATAGGACAAATCCCACCCAATCCAAGTAGTTGGTAGGTCATCGCAGAGTCTGTAATTATGCTACACTTGGGAAACAGAGACACAAAAATGGCCTCTGTATCCAGGTCTAGGAATCATGTAACCTTCTTGTACTAGAATGGAATGTCCTTCATAGATAGCCAGCAAACAGGAACAGCAACCTGGTTTTACTTCAACAATGCACAATGCCAGGTATTTACTAGAGCAAACACCACCCAAAGCCCGGAGGAGTTGCTGAAGCAGCTGATACCCTGTGTTGCTTTTTATAACTCTCCTTCACAGCACCATGCTCTACATATGTCCCATTTCATCAGGTCACATCAACTTAGGTCATGCCCAGCACTGCATCGTACACCAAACAAAATGAATTACCATGCAGAATATTCTGTTTCCTGAAGAAGAAAAAAAAGAGCATGGACATTGGGGAAAGTTTCCTAGGTCTTTGTGATAACAATGACTTTGCCACATATTTCCAATGAGCAGCCTCTTTGATTCCATAAGACATAGGAGTTGTGAGCCAGCAGGAAATTATGAAATTACCAAATGAAAGAATAAAATAAACATCTAAGAACCAGATTACATACAGAGCTGTGAAATGAGGTTGTGATGGCAAGGAATTTGCAAACTTGTACAAATTAATTGCAGTACTAGCTGTCCACATTTGGGGGGGCAATAAAATTAGACAAATGGGGTATTATATTAAGGCCTTTAAAATACCAATAGTAATTCACTGTCCTAAATCTCCCTCCTATACATTACATTGTCTCAGCCCTTGAGAAGGGGTTACAAAAAGATAAAATCCAAGCATCTTGGCCTCAAAGAGCTAGCATCAGGCATGCGTGCAGTGGCACAAGAGCTTGAACTCGGAGCTGCTCACTCTCATTGGCTTTTTTGCTCAAATCTAGCACTCTTCCACTTGAGGTACACCTAGACTTCTGGCTTTTTACTGCTTAATTGGAGATGAGAGTCTCATGAACTTTTCTGCCTGGGCTGGTCTCAAACCAAGATCCTGCAATCTTAGCCTCCTGAGTAGCTAGGACAATAGTCAAGAGCCATCAGTGCCCAGCGCCATCTATTTTTGTAAATGAAATTTGAAAAAAAACATTATCATAGATTGCTTGCACAAAAGCATTTCACTGTGATATTCACATGCATGCCTATGATGTACTTTGATCAGTGTATTGCCTCTTCATCTTTCTTGACCCCAATATCCATTTTTCGAAATACAGTTTTAGTGAAACAAGCCATCCTCAATTGTTTGCATATTGTCTCTGACTGCTTGTGAACTCAGTGACATAGGTCAGTAGTTGTGACAGAGGCAATCTAGCCTGCCAAATTGAAATACTTACAATCTGGTCTTTAAAATAAAATGTTTGCTGACCTCTACAGCTTTCATCTTCATAACAATACTCAGAGTCTGCAAAATGGTTTCCCAACTATAATTAAGGTAACTAAGTGGTAGAAGTCATGTAACATAATATATGGCAAGGTTTGCATTTGATTTTAAATCTAATTCCAAAAATCCATGTATCCATGTTCTTATGCTTTATTCATGGGTGGCAATAACGAAACTATAAGCCAGGAAGAAATAAGAGTCTTTTATACAGAAACTGCTACTCAGATTCATGGGAGGGGGATATGATTTCAAGGCAGAGGTGATAAAGATTATGGAGAAAATCATATTTGAGTCGAAAATTAAAAACTAATTTCAGTATTTCTCTGTTCCAAGTTCAAGCCCAAGAAAAGTTAGACTGACATAGCACAACATCAACACTCTTTCAGCTCAAAGCATGCAATCAATGACCATATTGAGTCATTAGACTCAGTGTGTGTGGGTGAGAGAGAGAGACAGACAGACAGAGAAAGACTGAGACAGAGACGGCAACAGAGACAGAATTATGGCAATGCAAATGTATACATTATGCCAAATGACAATTGAACTGATAAAACTATTATTTCTTCATTCAAGCAATCAAAAATACATTTGTTTATGTATTTGCACAATACTATCAGCTACTCACAAACCTAAAGACTACATCCTTTGCATGAAAGAATCACACACTCCATCAACTATAAGAATCAAATGATACATGAGACCACAAAATCAAATAATCATATACATCCTGCCCTGAAAAGTAAGACAGCTCTCAGCCATAAGAGAAATGGAGATGAAACAAGGCTCAACCCAGAGAGGCTTACCTGATACTGTAGAGTACTTTGCCATTTTTGGAAATCCGCAGCAATTTGTTATCGGTGGTGACATCATGGAAGTTGGCACCTTTCTCATTAGCAAAAAATAAATCTGGTTTCCAAATGGAATCTAGCATAGATGGGTCCAAGTCCAGGGAATCATCTGGGTACTCACTGTATGCCAATCGTGAATCATTCCACTGTTGTCTCAGAAAAATGTTCACACGGTAGTCCTACAGAAATGCCATGCACAAGAGCTACTTATTGCCCATACTGGCATAAGATGTCCATTAAAATTCCTCTCTTACCCCAGGCTATGTAGACCTTGGTCAAAATAACCATTTTGTTTCATTGGAACTGGGGTCAAAAGAAAGGAAATAATATTGAACCATACCAGAACACCTATGAAGCAGGTTGACTTAGTTTAACTTTTATTCAAGATGAATTTACATTAGAAAAATATGAGGACTATAGCAGTCGATCTATAATGACAGACTGTCAAACTTTATTCATTTTTCAAATCAGAAATGATATGACTTCTAATCTCCATCTCTTCTAATGCTCTGGGCAGAAGAAAACCCACTATGTAATTTGGATAATGAAAAGCTTATAAAACTGTGGCATGGTTGACCAATATTCTAAGAGTATTGCATTAAGATGCTTCATGTTGACAGAATAATTCAATCACAGTGTTTTCTTTTAAAAATTTAAAGTTATTTCATTGAATTCAGTCAGTGTATCTACAGTAGCCAACTTGATACCTCATCCAAAGACAGAAATATTTCGTATTTTCCAAATTTGAGAGCATCTGACAAGGGTATTCTCCCTTGTGGGAGCCTCCAGTATACGCCTGGCATTGTCCTTTTATCTGGGAAATTCCTTTTGTGCTAATGAATCAGCTTAGGGGCACTGCCTACTCTCCTGAGGACTTCTATGCAAAGGTCTTTACAGTCATGAAAAACATTACTTCATTGGATAATCTGGACTCTGATTGAACCTTCATTTAGATTTCCTGAGCAACTAGGACTAGAGTTGTTACAGAGTCAATAGTTTGCACATTCTTGTCACTTGTGGTTATTTAAGGTGATAAATTCATTTGTTCTTACTTTCCTTTACATTTTTACCCTCATTGATTTTCTACTTGGCATATGGATTTTGGGTCATCGTTTATCTTGCTTTTCATAATGTTTGTTTAGATTTGCCTAAGGACTTCCTAGTTTAGGCACCTAAAACCTCACACCTAGGGAAGTTCCTTAGTCCCAAGCAAATGGTGGTGGTTGATTATTCAACTAGGTACCATAAAGACCACCAAGGAACCACCAATTCAGATGAAGTCCTTCAAGGTAAAAAAAAAAGGGTTAAGTTTTAATGGCCAGAGTATGTGGAAAGGTTTCAATCAGCTTCCTTCTATTTCCTTAGTAATACTTCCAAATCCAATGTGACCATTTTTCAAATGTAGTCTCTTGATAATCAAACTCAGCATTTTGTAAAGGACAGTTCTTAGGAAGGGTGCATAGTGCATAGCCAAAAGCAAAATAATTTCTAAGTACTGAAAATCTGTGATCAAAACCCAGACCATTTGGAAAGATTAAATTATTAAAAGGAAATAATCTTAAATTCTCCATTATATAATAAAAGGATGCTGAGTTGGAATCCTGCCAACATTCATCTGGGATTCTACCAGGCCTGCACAGGAATTTCTCAAAACCAAGTGGTTGCTTTCATGGATGTAAGTAGGCTTGTATCCCAACTTACTGGTTCACTGGCTTCCCCTGTAATTAGACCAAGTAAATGGTAGAACCTCAAAGGTTTAGCCATACATTTCTAGAATTGTCCTCCCAAAATGAGGGCTATAACTGGAAGGAGATTATTACCAGTTCTATGTCACCTTGGGAATTGGAGTTACTGTAAGCTTTATGGTTTTGTGTGAGGAAGAACATACAATTTGTGAAAGTCCAAGAAGGAGCTGACAAAAATATAAGAATCCAGTTTACATATAAACATACATTAGACACATCAGCTGTGAAATGTCCTTAAGATTTCTTGAGGAGGAAAATGCTGCTTCTCCTGTTTGGACACCTGTTGCTCATTTCTTAACAAAATTATGAAGGAGACTGTGTGCTTATTTCAAATGGAGATAGGAAAGAAGAGGATCCCACCCTTAACAAATTCTGGAGGACTTTTAAGTGTACAAAGTAATGGATACTGGAAACAACAGATGTGAATGGGTTAAATATCTTAAACGGTTGGGGGACTAACAACCCTCCCACCCAGGAAGTAATACTAGCATGAGAAAGACATGAGAAGCCAGTTAGATTATACTAGACAGAAAATCACCAAGGAACATCCTTGTCATTCTCCCTTGAGCATGAGAATGATTTAAAGACACAATTGAAAGACTCTAGAGAATATTAAATAAGTGACATGCATTATGAAAGTAATGACCTTTAAGAAAATTATCTTGGTATAAATTTTCAAATCTAATATACATTTTTAGAAAGTTTTTCCCGTGAGCGTTTTCCAGTATTTGCTGTTTTTATACTGAATTTTATAGATAGAAAATAATGAAATATTTTATTTTAAATTAACCTTCAGACATTTAATGGCTCTAGTGAGATATACTCTCATTATTTGTATGCAAGGATAAATGTAGAACTTAGAGGAGAAAAGATATTTTATGATAAATTCCAGGAATTAGAACTAAAACATTTCCCAGAGCTTTTCCTTTTAAGTATTCTTTTGAAGGTATAGTAAAAAAAATTATAATGTTGTATATGCTGATATATAGTATTATAAAATAAACAGCAATTCTTAAAAGTCTAAAAATAGAATAAAATACCTGTAGATGCCAAAGAATTTTATGCAGCTTTGCCTTGCAAATCTTCCAGTTCACTGTCATTTTCAATGTACGGTAAAGATTTGGCATGTATGATTTATCTACATATCACTTCTGTTCATTTACAGATATGTTTGTTCTCTCATGATATTACCAAATCTCAAGAGAACGGTTATATTGTGTTGTAGTCTTTCCTTGTATTCACTTTTGCTTTTAGGTTTAATGAAATATTAAACGGGAAGTAAATATTGAGAAATGTGTTTAAATGCAGACTGAATTTTCTTTACATTTCTTTCTTTCTCCAGGGACAAGATTCTCCTTCAAATCTATGACATATTTCCTTGTATTGAAATTTATTTTCCTATGATTGACTATCTTGGTATTATATTAGGTAATGGAAGCATTCAACATATACAAAGCTATGTGTAAGCCACATTATGTTGGTTTATATTCTCAACACAGGTAAATGTGTTTACCAAACTCCATATTATTGTTTTATGTCAAATTTAGGGTTTCCTGAATTATTCTTTTTCTAATGCCTCCCCATTCCATAAAGATTGTTTAAATAGAATTATTTTGGCACTGTTATTTAGCTTAGCATTTGTAAATAGAGATTTTCACTCTTTCTCATAAGTATTCCTATTACACCTTACTATTACCAACACACACACACACACACACACACACACACACACACACATGTTGTTCAACCTAATTATGTTATAAAGATATCAAAGACAAAGATATGCATGTGTGATTTCCCATTGTGTTTATGTGGTACTTTGGTTTAAAATTATGGAAGGAGGAGACAGTTTTTTTATAATAAATTCTTAAAATATTGTACTGGCAATTCAAATACCAAGTTCTCTTTGTATAGCCATTTAACAAAACACAAGATTTTAAAGTCATTTCCTGATTCTTCCTTAAGATAACAGGAATACAAAATATAGTCATATACTATGTTAGCATCCTCTTGTGACTTGCTTATGTAGCAATAGAATAAAAGAAAACCTTCAGTGTTCTTTTGGTAGTTACATAACACAATAGGTATTCTTGTAAAGAAAGGGCTGTCCTGAGTTGCTGAGGAATGTGATTTCAGAGGCCTCCTAACTCTTCAGCCTGCAGCAGTAACCAGCACAGAATGGGAATTTATCATTAGAGTTAGGGACGGCCAAAATTATAATCTGGAAATGTTCCCTGAGTGAACACATTTACACACTTTTAGCTGTGCCTATCTGTTAAACAAGGAGAGGATAAAGATCTAATGTAGTAGCATGGGTAGAAAGTCAGTATCCATACATTTAAATCATATACTATCTACCCACATCTCTCTGGGAAGTCATTTGGAAGCTGAGAAGAAAGTGTATTATCCTTTATTTGATGAGCAGCCTTGGGAAGAGTTGGCTACAAATGTATGCAAGCTTGACCTTCACTGACATTGGTAATATTATCAAACCACATCTTTATATCAGAAATGAAGGGATTGAAGATATATATCCTCTATCCTCATTTGACATCAGAAAGTAAAGAAAAATAGGAAATAAATAATTTCTAAACCAGGATATAACCTTTCTAACTATATATCCCTCACTGGTCATCCAAATATTTGGGATGATACAACATTTGTTCCATGAAGTAATGTTAATACAGGTATTAGTGAATGGCCACCAACAGTTTCCCATGTTTTAATTTAAAACTGTATTTCTGAACTTTGTATATCCATACTTATTTATAAAAATATTCCTCAGATTAATACAAATGTGTTATCCTGTGAGTACACATCTATACTCATGTCTCGAAGAAGTGGACAATTATATTGGGTTCGTAATACAGTCAATCTTTTGTGGGCGTATAGTATCAACAATGAATAAGAGGGATTTCATTAACTACAAGAGAGACCGATTATATAGGACCCATAGAGAGTCATGGTAAGTTTTTAAAACAAATAATCATTTCAAAATTATATCCTTCAACACTGTTATTTTGGCCATGGGATAAGGGAGAAAAATCAACACAGTTAGAAACACAACATTCAAAATATTCTCAGGAAAAAATTTCCTTCAGAAAATGTAAAGAAAACGATACTATCATCCTCAGGGATGGTGCTAATCAATGTCGTCCATGGCTTCATTCTTGTTATATTTAATTATTTGACCAAATTTTCCCAATCCAGTTTTGAGAAATTTTATCAAAATCATGGATGCTAGAACCTTAGAATGTTGGCAGAGTTTAAGATGTGCTAATGCTTTGTGAGTGTGTCCTCTCATACTTCATTCTTTAAGTCCTAACCTCCAATGCTATGATATTAAGAGATGTAGCTTTTGGAGGTAATTCAATCATAAGGAACCCCAGAAAACTTCCTTTCTATCATGTGAAGATACTAGAAGTCAGTGAACTCTAACCTTAATAGATCTGTCACCAAAACTTGACAATACTGGCACCCTGATCTTGGACTTTCCTTTAATGTACATTTCTTTAGTTAGTAGCCTGACCTGATTAAGACAGGGTGCATCAGGTGGACTCCCAAAGCCAAGATCCTTTTTTAAATGGAACAATTGTCACATTCTCGTGAACATCTGAATTATGTCCATTTAAATATTGATTCCTCAATCAGGGTTTGGAAAATTTGGCCACAACCTCTTTTTGCAAATAAAATTTCCCTGGAGCACAGCCACATTCATTTGCTTACTATCCATTCTGGCTGTTTTCATGCCAAAAGGGCAGAAGTGAGCAGTTGTAACAGAGACTATCTGGCTCACAAAAATATAAGTATTTCTGACTGGCCTTTTATGGAGAAAGTATGCCAGTGTCCTACCCTAGATGGCATGAGACTTTTCTTTCCATCACATGAGCATGGTAATATTTCAAAGAAATATAGATCCACACTAAAACCATAAGTAGGGAAAAGAAAAGCCAAAAGAAATTTGTCATTACATCAAAAGTCGGGTCAAATAAAAGGAGCACAATACACATCATCTAAACATGCAGTTGAATCTGTGTTACACAGTAGAATATGCAAGGTGAAGATATTACCATTGTTTGCAAATATTTTGGTGGGAAACATGACAAAGGACACTTGCTAAGTGGTCATAAAGCACCTAAGCGTCAATTAACTAAATTCCTACTGTTTTAACTCTTTAGGACAGGAAAACAGGATACCCATTGCTTACCATTTTTATCTCCTTAAATGTTTAGCTTATTCTTGCATTAATGAACACGGAAAGGTGCACATTTACATTTTTGATTGAGAGTAAGATGCAATGAGGAGATTTAATCAAAGCAACTTAGAAGTCTAATTAATGCAATCAGCATTAGGTCGTGCAAATATTGTCATTGAATGCCATCGTGTAAAGCTGGTGACAGTGATTTGGGCTACTGGAAATGTTTCCATCTTATAACAGTAAAACCAAGAGGTGCAGAGACAGAAACTGAATGCCAAGCCCAGAGTTAGGTTATTTTTCCATGTTTAATGTTTCTTAAGAGTCATGTATAACCCTAGCAAAAATACCTTGTTTACATATAATTCTTAATGCCCTACACCCCCTCAAGTCCCAGATGCCTTGTATTTGGACAATGCTCTTTCAGGATAATATTAAAAAGAGTAGTGCACGTGAATTATGTTTCATTTTGCACTGAAAGGTAAAAGATAAATGAATTCTTCCTAGCAGCAAAAGCACTACAATATAGTACATGATCTTAGAAATCTAAAAGAGAAAACGAATAGGCAGACAAATCATGTCTTCCACTTCTCGCTGGTATTATACTCATTTATTCAGTTCTAAAGTATTGTTAGTATAACAGCTATTGGTCAGCTATATTCTATTTTTGGTCTCATTCAATAATATGATTGCATAGTTTACATAGCCATACAAATTAGAACCAATCAATTGATTAAGGATTTAAAATAAATTGTAAGTAGGTCAAGAAAATATTTCACCCAAATGCAATCATCATACTATAGTACTAAATAGACTAAAGATAATGGTCTAACAGGCAATGTCACAAGTAACATGACCATGGAAATTATAAGAACTCTTGGCAGATATTATAATATCTGAAATCTCTTTCAAACGAATGAAAGATGTTTGCATGTATTCTATGATGATCTTTTAATTAATTCTATGTTTATAGTTTGAAGGTGTGCATATGTTGTAATTGGTATGAACTCAGCACAAATGTGTCATGTGTGAATCTCTTTGTGGTGTGTGAATGTGTGTGTGTGTGTGTGTATCTGTTATAAATTCAACACATTTCAAATATAAGCCAATGGGCTTATCTTCTCTGGTGAGCTGGATAAAAGAAGCTCACTCAATTTTAAGTAATGACCACTTGGCAAATGACTTTAAAAATGAAGAAGTGTACTGTTTTCTAGAGATGAATTTGGATATTGGCACTCAGTAAATGTCGCCCAAATATGCACCAGTGCTCGGATCCCATATCCCATTCCTTCACACAATGGCTTCAATGCTCAGTCCCACTCACCATTGTAGTTTCTGCTATTGACCCAAAGCTGTTGATAAATATGTTGCACGTAACATTTACAGGAGGCCCTGCAAGTTGAACAATAGAAAATTTGACAGGTTGTGTTCATAGAATAATTGAGTCACGTTTTTCTCTTGCCAGTGGCATGGTTGCACTTACCATGGTAGTTTCTGTGACTGATCCAAAACTGTTGATAAAAATATTGCAAGTAACGTTTACTGGAGGACCTGCAGAATGTAATAAGAATATTGCAATAGACATTGAAGCAAAAACCCAGCTCCGTCAACATCTATGCAAATGGCTGGAGATGTAAATAAAATTAAAATGATGGTGAAGTTGCAAAACAAAATTATAAATCTTACCTAGAGTTTCATAATGATAACATTCGGGCTAGTAGTTTGGATAATGAATATTAACTGATGGTAACATACCACAAGGAGTTTTGATTTCTGGAAAATATAAGCTAAGACCTGGTCAGTGAGTTCACTGACATAAAGTAATTTTTATAGTACCATCCATGTTTCGGGCATCAACAGTGCATGTCCCATAGGAATAAAATAACTTGAGTCCTGAGGCCCAGATGGATCAGCATTTTGGGGCTATCGATGGCTGAATATTATGCACTTCCTTTTGTGGGAGGTACTTTAAATCACTGGGTTCTCTTTAATCACTTGACACCTCTGAATTAACTCTTTTTCTTTTTTATACATAGTAAACCCCAATGGGGGGAAAACATTGTAAAAAATGAAAAAATTAAATGAAGTTATTCAAAAACAAAAACTGAAAGCCACTTACTGCATATTGTTGCCTGACTTAATATGGTATAAAACAGAGATTATCACATTTTAGATGTGCTGTGAACAGAGTCTACTTTTCTCTCCTGACATCCAGAGACTAGAGACTCGGATGGCCAGTTTTATTTTCCTTTTGCCTTTTGTCAACAGGTAAATCCAGGCTGCAGATTTTGCTGAAGAATATGTTTGTTGCCTTTATGGAATTTTCCCCTAATGCTTTCAGAGATAAGAAAATGCTACCACGAACCGTCTCTTCATTTGCTACTTTTCCCAGAAGAAATTTGTTTTCTCTTTACTCAACAAAGTCTCAGCAGCCAGTGCAGACAACACCCTAGTTCCCACTACTATTGTAGGAATGATTTTTTCCCCATCAAATTTATCAATGTTTGTTTTGTGTATTTTAGAACTCTGCTGTAAGTTATTGAAAAGTGCAATCAGCCTGTGGAATTTTGGACATAGTAAATGCTAAGAGTCAAAGTAATGAACTAATTAGTATACAAAATAGGAAGTAAAGACTTTATTTAGTCATTCTGTTTGGTTTCCTCATTGGATAATAATGATTAGACTTGAGATTAGCTTTGCTTCAGAGAAAATGTTGAATAGGATTAGTTATGTGGTTCTAAATGTCATGATTAAAAATATTTGTAGAGAAATTATTATTGAGATATATAGTTGCATATATTAGAAGTATTATATCTTCTTTATGAATTGACTGTTTTATTAATATATATTTTAATTTATATTTTTTATATTTTAATTTAGCATATAATTAATATTGTCTTTAAATGTTTTCTTTATAGTCATAAAGTGACTATATTTAAATACTCTTGTGAATTATTTATTTTTTCATATTTATGTATATGTTATATATCTACATAGCTATATTGACCAAAGCTTTCTAAGATAATGAGAAGTATTATTTTTTGGATGTAGGTTTTTGGTAACTGTAATTTTTTTGTCTTTTTTGAGGTACTGGGGATTGAACCCATGATGCTGCACTTGCTAGGCAAGCTCTTTGCCACTGAGCTACATCCCAGCCCAATGTATTATTTTTTTAACCCTCTATGACAAGTCTATTTAGAAATAAGCATTAGAAATGAATAGGTGGTCTTATATGACACCAAAACAAGAAGTACAAGGAGTCATTCTTGGATAGTTTTGTACCAGGTATTTTCCAACATTATTTTTAGGTGAAATACTACTTTAACAAATGGAACAAGCTTTGAGTTCTGAGATGAAAATGTTACTTTTTTCTCTCTTGTCACAAATAGACAAGAATGGCATTTTCATTTTGCATTTTATTTCTTATAAATAATTTAACATGTCTTCAAGTATCGCAATTGCTTTAGTGAGAAGCCCTTGGATGAATATGGAATATTAAAAATATGTGATTGACTTTTACAGATGTTAAATTTCCTTTGGAATAAGAAGCTTTTGTAGCAGAATGATCCATTTTTATCAGGTCAAGAGATAAAGGAAAAATAAAGCACATAGATGAAGCAAGAAGATGTAAACTTAAAGTTTTAGAGACTTGATATACACAGTATGGGTATACAGTTTCTTTTGATGTTTTCCTGTGTTGCATGTGTGTAGATGCTCATGAGAAGTACAGCATCTTGAAAGATGGGAGGATCATAAAAGAGAAAGAATTGCTCTTTGTGGAACTTGTGAGGGAGGATTTGATACTCTAAAAGAAAGTAGGACTTTTAAAAATATTTCTGTAATGAGATGTACAAGACATTATGTCGAAAAACGAGCTTTACAGCTTTGGGAGGGAGACAGGGGCGGGGTGGGGGATGGGAAGGGATGGTAAGGGGAAACAAAGGAGGAAGCAACAATGCTTGATAAGAAATGTATTCATTACCTTGCTCCTGTAATTGTAACCCCTCTGTACGGTGTTTTCACAAAAAATATTGCTGTAATACTTATAAACAGTCACTTAATCTAACCCATTGTATTATTTTCATCTTCTTGAATATTTACCCAAAATGAATTATATACCATCAGTTCTTTTCTCCAATGCATGATCAAAATGGCTTTTACCAGTTCCACTGCATTCTGTTTGCTGATATCCTTGCCTATGCAAATGGCAGACCATTCAGTAGTGAAAGGAAAAAAAAAGCTAGATGTTTACTGACTCCTATTAGATAGCTCAGCACACCATTTTCTTTGGACCAGCCATGTTCATCAAAGGAGGAAGTGGCCATGCAATATGATCACTTAACCCTTAAGGTAGCTTAAGTATCAATATCAAAGGGCAGCTTCTGTTGGTCCTTCCCACTAATAGCTACCTATTGTCAACTGCAACTGTGCAATGTTATAGTGTATGGATGGATGGTCACATGACTTAGATCCCTGTCAGAGGAACTTGAGAGTGTGTTGTGTTTCCATCTTTGTATGCTATGACCGTCTCCACAGTTTTAAGAGAAGGATCTTGATGGGGAACATCATTTCATATAGGGTTATCATTTTCATTTATTTGGTTTTTGTTTTTGCTTTATGATAATTTTTCTATGAGAATATCCAAACTGGCATGAAAATGTAATCTTCCTCTCTCCACCTCCTAAATGCTGCCATTACATGCCAACCAATGCCTAGCTCTAGAGCAATCTTTATTTTTTATCAGTCATGGGGCTTGAACTCCAGTCCTGAGCTCAAGAGCTCAGGGCTAGTGCTCTACCATTTGAGCCACAGTGTCACCTCCAGTTTTCTGGTAATTTATAGGAGATAAGAATCTCACGGACTTTTCCTGCCTGTGCTGGCTTTGAACCGTGATCCTCAGATCTCAGCCTCCTGAGTAGCCAGGATTAGAGGCATGAACCACAAGCACCCAGCTAGAGCAATCATTTTTAAGAGAGAAAGTAAGTGTTCCCAATAATACACAGAAACATTAGACATGAACCAAGACTGTCCTGAGGAAATCTGAACTTTGGCTCATAGTTTTTCTCATCAAAGTGTATTTGAAATTGTCAGTCTCTAGCTGGAGCTCATCATGTTTAATGAGATAAATCAAGTTCAGAAGGACACATATTTCACTTTTCACTCATATGTGGAATCTAGGCCTTAAAATATAATATGACATGATTGAACCAGGAAGACTGTGAGAGCCGGTAGCAGTGGCTGGAGAGAAAGAAGATCGTGATGGGAGGAGGGTTAAATATTATATAAGCAAATTTTTATGTATGTATGAAATAGAAAAATGTAACATACCAAGAACTAAGTACAGAGGAGTGGGGGGAGATCAAGAAAGTAATACAGATGGGGTGAATTTAATCCAAGTATATCATATGCATGTTGTCAATATTACAATAAAAACCCTTTATACAACTGTTCTATGCTAATAAAATTATTGGAAAAAAATGTGAAAAAGACAAATAGTTTTGGAAGAATATTAGCTACTAGTTTGTCTTTAATGCTTGATTGCCTCTTGTTGATGTAAGACAAATTTACAGAAACTCTGAAGCTGTTCATTCTTTTTTTACAATAGAATTAGTGACTGTTATTGTGAGAATTAGTAGTAATCTATGAAAAGCATACAATATTTGTTCAATAAGTTGTAGTTACTCTTATTATTAAAATAGTGGCCACCTTACTATCACTGCTACAAGTTCCTTGGATTATCCAAGTGTCTATGTGGGAAGTATAGCACCTAATTCATTTTAATATAATATAAGCTAAAATCTTGAGACTACGATTTACCTTTGACACCCTCTTAGGCCAGTCTTTATTGAAATGTGCTCTGATCTTAACCATTGTCCTCTCTCTTATCTCTATTGAGATTTTTTAAAATAAAACACTTTTTCTGACATAATGCATAAATGTGTGCTTAATGTCTGGCAAACTACGTGGCCATTGTGGGTATGCGATGATGGCTGCTGGCTTCTTTGTTTAAAATAGAACTTCTCAACTTTGGGACTAATATTACATAGGGAAGAAGATTCTTTGCTGTGCGAAGGTTTTCTATGTATTGCAGGTTGTTTATTATTGAGGGGGAATTGCCTCCAGTTGAGAGCCACTTAATTCTAAAAAAAAAAAAAAGGAAAAATGGCAGAATAGATGAAAAATGTATTCAACAAGAATCACATTTCATGTGGTAATGAACTACAGATTATTCTTCTAGTTGACAAACATGTTAATATGGTATTAAATATTTCCTAGTTATATGACATTAAGAGAAAATCACATATATTTCATTACAAAGTATAGATTTATAAAATTTGTAAATATACTTTTAGTGAAAATAAGCAGTATTACACATAGGTAGTATTACTTGCATTTTTAATTGAATTTGTTCCTTAAGTAATTAAATGTGCAGGGATTTGTTGTTTTTTATATTTTTATGTTTAAACCTTTAGACACTGATAATATCAACAAATATTTATCGAGTACTAATTATGTGCCATTCTACTAATTATTATTATTTACAATTAGAC